GGGCCCCCCCCCCCCCCCCTTGACAGGGCCTCTCCCAGCGCTGGGGAATCATTAGCCAGGAAGCCTCCAGGAAAGGGCAAGCACATCCAAGGCTCTCCAGGGGCCAGCACCTGCCACTCTTTGTTTGCTAAAGGAAGGGGCCCTGTGCTGGGGCTAGTGGACAATGGGGCTGGGGGCCCCTCCTCCTTACCCTCCCGAATGCCCTGCCCTCCACTTTATCTCCACCTGGTACAGGCTGTGCTCACTCCTTAGTATCCTAAAGCTTGGGAAGGGTCCCTGGGGTGGAAGTAGGGAGTGGACTAGGAGAAGAGGAAGCTACTGTTTATTGAACCATTCTTAGGAGTTTAGTGTTGGCATTTTTGTAGTTATATGAAAATATAACAGCCATTAAGGTGGGAGTGGTGGTCCTACCTTACAGATGGACTCAGAGGGTCAGTAGCCGCGGCTCAAGGTAACAGAATTAGGGAGTGGCAGAGCCAGGATGGAAACCCAGGTAAGGCACAGGATTGCGTAACTCCAAGTGCTATCTGGAACCTTCCCCCTGTAGTCTATGTAAATGACGCCCTGGAGTTGCGCAACTGGAAGCCTGCAGCTGCACACAGCCCCGCTGGAGACCCAGGTCTGTCTGAGGCTAAGCTCTCTTTCCAGGAACCCTCCACCACTTCTCCTCACCCTGGACATAAACTCATCGGCCCTGGGCGGGTGGGGCCACTTTGACCCTCGACCAGAGACACCCGCCTCCCCCCTCCCCCAGCAGGATTCTGCTGATGCTCGTGTTTCCTCACCCACTTCATCTCCTGCCATGATTGAATGGCCAGTTACTTACCCTGCCCTCGGGCTAAGGGCAGGCCAGCTGCTTTGGACCCTGGCATCCGCCACCCAGCCTAGTCAGAACTCTCTGGCCAGAGACAAGATGGAGGGGCTGGGGCAGACAGTCACTGCTGATTCAGGAAGAAAGCTCTGCAGAAGTATCCCCAGGACTGATCTATGCCTGACTTTTGGGTTTTATGTGCTTCAAATGCTTTTTTTTTTTGGGGGGGGGGTGGCTGGCCAGTACAGAGATTCAAACCCTTGACCTTGGTGTTCTAACACCTCACTCTAACCAACTCAGCTAACTGCCAGACCTTCATTTTTTTTTTTTTTTTTTTTACAAAAGATGACTGGTAAGGGGATCTTAACCCTTGACTTGGTGTTGTCAGCACCACGCTCACCCAGTGAGCGAACTGACCATCCCTATATGGGATCCGAACCCTTGGCCTTGGTGTTATCAGCACCACACTCTCCCGAGTGAGCCACAGGCTGGCCCGACTGCCAGACCTTCAAATGCTTCTTAAAATTGCATTTAGTTGCTCTGTGAGGTAGACTATTGTCCGCGTTTCACAGATGGAAAAATTAAGTTGGGAATAAATGAAGTAAATGTCTCAAAATCATACAAATATTAAGTGGTGAAGCCCGGCCATCCGGTTCTTGGGCTCCACCTTTCACCTTCTGCCCTGAGATCAATCCCTTGCATTTGAGGGTGTCCTCAGCCTCAGGCTCCCTATGACCAGTAGTGGGGAAGGGCTGGGGCACTGAATCCAAACTCAGGGCTGCCACATCCTGTTGCCTGGCTCTGTCAAGTTGCTTTACTTTTGAGACCCCATCTCACACTCCAAAGGGAGTTGTTGGCTGGCCAGTTAGCTCACTTGGGCAAGTGTGGTACTGGTAACACCAACGTCAAGGGTTTGAATCTCCTTACTGGCCAGCCTCCAAGAAAAAAAAACAGTGTTGTTAATGGTCAAACCTGCCTCTGTGAGCTCCAGCGTGTCTAATATATGGCTTCCCCCAACCCCCTTCTACAACTATATGGGTCCCTCTTCACATGTGTCTCTGGATCAAAACCTGTCTTGAAGTTCCATCCAGAAGCCTTGGCCCTGTGCCTCCATCCCACCTCCTGGGCAGTCTATCAAGCTGTAGCATAACTCGATGACTTGTTCTTCCTGGATCATGGGGTTTTAACTGTGGCACGGAATTCTAAGGATCCATAAAGTTGGATGGCACCTACATTGCTGAGTTGCAATTTATTTTTTTTATATTTTGGTGACTGTATTTCTATTTATTTCAAAATACTTCGTTTCTTTTGTAATCCTATGCATTTTGCTTTGTGCATTTCAAAGCAGTATTCTGAGAAGGGCAGAAAACGAGACTCAGGGAGGCCTAGCATTGCCTTGCTGACATTTGTGGAAGCTTAGCAGGTCTGGGTTTGAGGTTGAGGAGCTATCAGTGTTCTAAGAAGCCCCTTGGGTCAGGTACCAGCCCCTTGGGCACTCCCTGAGGGGGATCCTTTATCCTTAGCCTGACAGTATGTCCAATTACAAGGTCAGTATCCCCAGCTCTAGAAGTGGGGATTCGAGGCCGACCTGCCCTCCCAGGCCACCCTAACACCTTCTGCCTTGTAGCCCAGCTCTGTAGAACGTAGGCCAGCCAACCTCAGCTGGCAGCCTGTGATGGCTATGCATGTACCCGCGATGGCTTACATGCCAGCCACTGGCAACTCCCCATGGCTGCTGTGCTGTGCAAGTCCAGGGGCGCCATTCCCAGGTGGCGTCGTGAAGGTAAAGCCTGCGCCGCTGTCCGTGGTGTCCACGGAGCTCAGAAGCCAGCAGGGAAGAGTCTTCTCCTGGTGGTGAATGCTCTTCTTTCTGCCTCTGTCACTACCTCCTACTTCCCTGGGCTGGCAGGGCAGTTCTCCAGCTCTGTTCCTTGGCTGTAGCACTCACTCTTCTCTCCGTATCTGTTTCTGAGCTCCTGAGGACAGGGACTGAGTCTCTTTCTCCTCTGGGTCTCTAGCTCCTCGTTCTTTTGCTGGTGATGGCCTGGGTCTGTAAATCTTCCTTTCCTACTTGTGCCACCCCCACACCCCAAGGAAATCACCCCGTTCAGATCCCTATTCTCTACCCCCAGGCAGTCCAAGCTCTTTGGGGGCAGGCACTGGGTCTCCCGCCAGCTCACCAGACATTTCACAAATATCCTGTCTGGGCCAGGCCTCCAGTCCTGCTCGTTCTATACCTCAAATGCTCCCATTTACTTCTCTCCAGCTCTGGGCTACTAGCCTGGTCCAAGCCCCACCATCTGTCACCAAAACTCCTGAAAAAGCCTCCTTACTCATCTCCCAGCTTTCTCTGTTGCCCCTGAAATCCCTTTTCCTTGCTGCAGCCAGAGTGATCTCAAAGCACAAGTTTTGTTTTTTTTTTTTCCTTTTTTTGTCTTTTTTCATGACCGGTAATGGGATCGCAACCCTTGGTGTCGTGCCCGTACCGTGATCGGCAACAGGATCGCAACCCTCGGTGTCGCGCCCGCACCACGCTCAACCAGTGAGTGGACCGGTCTCTATATGGGATCCAAGTGCCGCCCTCTACCTAGTGCACCACCGGGCCAGCCCACAAGTTTGTTTAATTTGCATTCCCTCCCCCAATACACACACACTCACCTCAAAGCAGCTCAGATCCCTTCAGTGGCTTCCTATGCTCTTAGGAACCTAGGCTCGGGTCTGGTCTGTGCCTCACATCTTAACACTCCCCCTTCCTCTCTCTGCTCGAGCCACACTGGCCCTCTTCAGGTTCTTCAAATACTCCAACCTCCCACTGGCCACAGGGCCTTTTTTTTTTTTTTTTTTT